TTCTAAATTCCACCAACGACGTCGAAACTATCCAAAACAACTCCGATTGACCTGAAATTTTGCAGACATATCCAAAATGACATTACAAACCTGTTCCAACTGTCGGAATTCCATTCCGACCCCGATAGCCTATTTTCCACTGCCGACCGGAAATCGCCAAAAACAAACTTTCGCCAATTCAAGCCTAATTCTACACCAGACATCACAAAAATATTCCGGACACACTCCTAAGTCCCAAATCACCTAACGAAGCTATCCGAGCCATAAAATCTGTATTCCGAGGTCGTTTACCAATAAGTCAACTCTCGGTTGACTTTTCTAACTCTAAAGCTACTTTTAGAGACTAAGTGTCTCAAACCTTACCAAAACCATTCCGGATTCGATCCGACCAACCCGATGCCACATAACACTGATGAACAAAGCATAAAGAAGCAAAAATGGGGGAAAACGGAGCGGTAACTCATGAGACGACCGGCCGGGTCGTCACATTGTATGTCCTTAATTGAGTTGTAACTTTGTAAAAGCTCTTACTTGTAATTCCTTCTTAGCTTACTTAGAAGCATTGTGTAGGAAATTCTTTGTAAATCATAAACCCTTGTGTTTGTGTCTTGGCTAGAGTTAGTCGAGTTGTAAAGTTGTTGTAATAGAGTTATTACAAAGTGGCTTGTAATAGGGTGTCACAAGTTAGTGAGGGATTAAGAGGTTAATTCCTAGGTTACATAGGTTATAATCTAAAGTTGCTCAGTAGTGAAGTTAAAACCCTACAAGGGTAGGTCGTGCTTTTTAATCCCGTTGAGCTGGAAATTTTGTACGTAAAATTCCTCTGTGTTCACTTACTTACTGCATTGTGCGTGCGTTCTGTGGAAACTAATAGAGAACCTGGTTCTCTATATAGTTTGGTGGACCCTTAAGTTCTATCAGTTCTCATACTACCTAAGGTGATTTTTCAATGTGATTAACATTAGAATACTACTTCCAAACATCAATTCTAACAATATTCCATCTCAAAATCGTTAGATTCTCAACGAGAACTCAAGAACAAGGTCTCTCCACTAACCTTGAGTTTCACGATTCAAGGTAAGTTAATAACCGCTTTCACCCACGATTGTTAGAGAGGTTTATGGTTGATATTTTGTCCTATAAACTAATACAAGAACATAGATTAACGATGAACCCTAGAAGGAGAGAAGAATCAAACCTAGGGTTGCTATATTTTCGAAATCTTGGAGCTTCTAATATTAATTTTTAAATTGACTATGCATAGATTTGTTTGGTGAGTTAATGGATATGAGAAAACAAAGGTATTCAAAAGCAAGGAATCAAGGTGAGTAGAGACAATGTTTTTACTAAAGTTGTCTTCTCACAAAGATCATGACATAAATATTTGTTGGATTGTATAGGATGTTAATGTGGGCTCTAAATTGACGAGTGGACTTACATTATCCATTAAAATTATAGAAAATATCTTAGACGATTATCATGGTTAATAACTCAAGAATAGTATGTTGTTCCGTAAATCATGTCTCTTGCATCTATGACTTGCATATATTTCTTCAATGTATGAACTATGAAATTTTTTTGATGTGATTTTATGGAAATGTTTTGATGAGAACTGTGGAGATACATCATTGTTTTAAATTCTGGGATACAAGAATCACTCAGAAGAAAATTTTGGGATATTCCTTAGATATCTGAGAAGGGTTCATAGCCTATAGTGGTTTATGTTACCCCGAAACTACTCGTGTCAGAATAGGAGATTAGTATACCGTTGGTTCGGGCACTATGATAGAAGTGCCCTGGTAAGGCATAAGAACGCGAGCATGCTAGAACCTTAAACTGTGAGGCACCACATGAATGGGGTCCAGGCGATCGGGCTGGGATCGTCCACTATACCGATCATATGGTAATATTTCCATAATCAGAATCAGAAAGAATGTCAGAATCAATGGAACTCCCTAGAAAAGAAAATGCTTTAGAAAATTTACAAGGCTTGTTTCGAGAAAGTTTTATATATCTATTTATTTGAATTTTATATTTTTTTCAGAAAAGAAGAATGAGAATTTTCATGAATGACATCAAGAAAACTTTATACTAGGTATATGAGTTGTTTGTTTTAACCCTTCATCAGAAGCTTTTAGAATTTTCTGATATCATATATACATACTTCTTTCAGAGTCTCGTTCCAGTTTTAGTGGGAGGATTGTTTTACTTACTGAGTACCAATGTGGTGTACTGACGTTCTCCTCATGGGAACCTACATTGACCTATGTCAATGTAGGCACATATTTTGCATGTAAGCAGGCTACGAGCTAGGATATTCTCGTCCCATTACCAGAAGATTGGGTGAGCTCCATTTTAGTTCGTGGAGTTCGTAATTTCCAGAATTTTATCTTATTATTCAGTATTTCTTTTTCATACACAAAGTCAGAACAGAGTCACGGTTGTCCACTTTACATTACATTTGTTTTTCAATGTATTTCAGATAACAGAATAAAATTTCTTTTCAGGCTATTATTTTGATTAAAAAGATTAAGAAAAGGATTTGCTTTTAATTATATTGAATTGTGTTGAGATGCATTGCACAACAGAAATAGAATAGAATAGAAAAATCAAGATGGTTCGCTCGGTCAAGTTAAGACACCGAGTGCCAGTTACGACTTTGTTAGATATCGGGTCGTGAGAAATGATTTCCATGAAAGAAGTTTTTCAAAATTAAAATTGATAAACAGCTTACCTAAGTAAGATCAATAATATCTCGAGATAGATTAATTTTCTATATTATCATTGGAAAGAAAATATTAGAAAAAAATGATTATAAAAAAGTTACTAACAACTTTGTATCTCATCAAAAAGCTAGAAAATGGACTTAAATAAAAACATATACTGTTCATTTTAAAAGTTTATGGCTTCTCGGTAAAATTTTTCTTTAGCCACCAATTTTGTTCAGTCGGCCCTGTAAGCGGAGTAAACTTATGTCACACTGTTTTGCAGCTAGTTTCAAAGAAATCACTTCACGGTGTAGTTGAAGTGATTGCTTTATTTTAGAAAAGATAAAATTCAAATTTTTCTTTAACCACCACTACGGGTTCCTGCGCGTATTGAACCCGTATTAAACCAGCAACCCGCAACTTGACCCGCTTTAAAAATTTTAAAATTGTTTTCACCCGTCTCGCACCTGCCCCGCCCCGCTCCGCATCAAACAAAACCTGCCCCATTGTCATAAGATTCTTGATATTAATGGTTACTAATTGAAGTTAAACCTGCATTTAAAAATGAGAATTTACCTGGACTAAGATGGAGACATGGATATACAAAGATGATTAGATCGAACTATAAGTAGTCACACCTCTCTAGGAAAAGAAAAATATAACTAGCTCAAAACAAAACAAACTTAAACTGTTAGGATTTTGTGATGAAACTACACTCTGCTATAACAACGAGCATGTGCTGGTTAATGACAACTTTAGCCATTGCTGCTCTCTTTTCATCCCAATTAGCTTATGCCTATGATCTTGACCCTCTACAGGACATATGTGTTGCAGTTAACGACTCTAAAGCTTCTGGTAAATCATCGATCCCATCTGTTAGCTTTAATTAATATCTGCATAATATGCTTGGCTTTAATTTGTTTTGTTTCATTTATATTGTGCAGTATTCGTGAATAGAAAGATTTGCAAAGACCCAAATCTTGCAAAAGCAGATGATTTCTTTGCTTCATGTCGTAATGTAATTGGAAATATAGTGCAGCCTAAGTATGGATTTGCTGTAAATGTTGTGGATGTCAACAGAATTCCTGGACTCAACACTCTTGGTATTTTTATAGCTCGTACTGATTTGGAACCCAAGGGTCTAGTCCCATTTCACACACCCTCGAGCTACTGAGCTTATAACTATATTAGAGGGTACTATTTATGCTGGATTTCTTGCTCCTCATGATGCAGATGTTTTCAAGAGTCGTCTATTCTCGAAAATTTTGAATCCTGGCGATGTGTTTGTGATCCCACAAGGTCTTATTCACTTCCTTTATAATGTGGGACACAAAAATGCTACTTTACTCGCTTCTTTCAATAGTCAAAATCCTGGGTTCGTTATGATTCCGAGTGAAATCTTTGCTTCAGATCCGCCTATTCTCGACGATGTTCTTGCCAAAGGTTTCCAGCTTGATAAGAAAGTGATCAAACAACTTCGAAAGAAATTCTCCTAGGATATGTCATTAAAAATATTATCAGTGTGTGCAGCTGCTCACCAGCGATTTGTGAAATAGTTGGAATACTTTTCTCTTATTTTGACACTGTTTATTGTATTTTTCCAACCTTTTTCTCTCCTTCCATTATGTAAGGTTAAAATATTTGAAGAAGCTCTACAGATCCGTAATGAGTAGATTCTTGTAAATGTAACACAATTAAGTGATTGTATCCTATGGTATTTAGTAGCTTTACTTATTTTCATTATTAATTCACTACTAACATTACAACAAATTAGGCCTTTGACCACACATGAAAAGTGTGGCCTAAACTATCAGAAAGTGTGGCTTTTGATCAAAGGCCACACTTTTCGACCTAAGGCAACACTTTTCAAGGGGTGACCTAAGCAAGCGTAACCTTTGACCTAAGGTAACGCTTTTCATGAGGCAAAGGCTACGCTTGCTTATGGCCACTCTTTTGATGTCCTAAAGCTACACTTCCGAAGTGGAACCTTTAATACCTGATAGGCCACACTTTTTAAGTGTGGCTCCTAAAACTACAGTTCTGAAGTGTTGCCTATGTTACTATGCTTATATATATATATCTATATATATATATATATATGAGGTCATTAATGATGTATAATGATATCAAGTACTTTACTAACTAATAGATAAAAGATTGTTACTAACACTAAACATAGCGATGAACTTACGAAAAACGGAATATATTCAATTGTAATACATACAACTAACTAAAAGACTAATACAACTTCAAACGTCTACGTAATTTAACTGTAGTATNCAATCACTTCAAGCTACGTATTTAATGTGAATTTTACAAAATCAAATATATTCATATGTATCATGAAAGATACATATCCTAGTTGTCCAAAAGTCTTTCTCATTAACTTCAAATGGTCAAATCGACTTTTGGCCACCATTTTCAATTGCATCGCAGAATTTTCCTACACATCAAAATGAAGTTAAATATTAGATAGAAACCAATAGAGTGCAGACGTAAGTGAGAATATTTTACATGTATTTTTCATACAAAATGAATAGTAATGAAAATCATCATCTGAACTGATATTCAATGGCTACAAAGGCCCATAAAACTACAAGTGAGCAATATTTGCATAACTGCAAGTTACACACCAGGAGCGCTTGCCAAAATGTTGCATTGGTGGTAACAGGAGATCAGTAAAATACAATAAAATAAAATACATATAATCATATTAGAAGCAAGGTTATGTTTCTATTTTTTATGGTGACTTAAAAACAGAAACTTTTGGCCAAAAAGTGAACAGGTTTAAGAAAAGGATATATAGGGTGGTCACCAAAGAGAAAAGTTGTGATAATCAGAAATATCAATGGCTCACATTCTTAAGGTAATTCTAGTCACCCTACCGAGAGAACATAATAATTTTGGGAAGCAAGTTAAGGAGAAAAGCAAACAACATTTCCTGTTGATTTGTCTATGCTCTATGCTTAGAATATTACTGCTCCTCTTCCCAAAAAAATACCACCATCTCTAGCTCTATGTCCTAGCAGCAGCACCAAGTGGAAACCCCTTGTAATCATTAGAAGGAGATAAAAATGGTGATAACATTGCATAAAAGAGAAGTCCCCATCCAAATAATAGTACTAACATCTTTATTTAGCAGGTACAAATAATAAACAATAAATAAGTAAGAATTGGACTATAAGTTTGAACCAGAGGAATGTGGAAGATTTTGGTGTCACAACTTGTGTGTTACTTGCATCATTAGTACAAGGATAGGGTAGCTAACGCACATCTAAATAACATATGTGAAGTTATAAATTATAAGTACCTTGAATGATTCTATTGTTACTCCAGCTTGAGTAATACTAGAGAAAACCCCTCTGCTGTCGAGGTCATCGTTCTTCATTGACACAACAAACCTATAAAATAAAGGATTAAATCAGAAACGTTATTGGATGCATTTCTTTATTTATCCAGAAACAGAGAAAAGAGAACATTTCGGCACATGTCATTTTTCATTCTCTCGCACATGATATGAGAATTTTTCAACTATAACACTAATAAATAATTATATTAGCACAAGTCTGACATTAGATTTCAATCACTACATACTTTGCAGAAAGGTGTAAGTTGAATCACATTTTCTTGTCGGTAAATCACTGCAAAATATGATAGAAAACAAGAAATTCTTGGATCATTTATTCTTGTAGAAATTTCAAAAGAACTAGGGATAGACACAAGATAATCTTGATACTTAACATAGTACAGATGTTAGATAGCTTACCTATGTCTGTACTATAATTGTGGGATTCCCATAATTTTCACGAAATACAGTTCATTATACTTATGTTGCCCCGAGGCACTATGAACTGTCAAATTGACTTTACCTGCAAATTCAAAAATATAACGTCAGTAATTAGATGTTTAATGAGTAGTGTCATAACAATATTGTCTTTTGTTATCCAACAAAGTGAAATCAGTGTATGATTCTACTTACCATGTCTGGTATTAATACTGGCTCCCCTAAGCTCAATACTATAAAAAGAAAAAGTAACTGTTAGGCATGAGTGAGTTCTCAAGTTTAGTATTGTATTGAACCAGCGAGGTCAATTGACCATTAGTAGATGTCTTATCATACACAAAGAACAACAGCACAAGATACACCGGGAAAATATTCCCGTGCACATTATCTTTGACAAACATGTTTATATCCCTGTATATAGAGCATATTTATGAAAAACATGATTATCATTTAGGTGGGAGCCTGATGATATTTGAAAATCGAATACTGGCTAAAATAGAGTACGGTAATAGGTAGGTAATTTTACCACATTAAGAACAAATTCACTTAAGACACATACAGAGTAATTTTTACATAAAGAGAGACAATCGCAAAGTTACACTAAAGAAGGTTTTTGTTCATTAGGGGAGGGGGGAGGTCGGTAATTTCTTCAGTCTATTACTAAGCTTTAACGAGACATGAAAGCAAGCCACCATGCTTTAATAGAAATTAGTAATAGTATATAGTTTCTTTGCTTATTAAATATTGTAAAATATTAAACATAAAATTGAAAAAGAATAAGGTTGCAGTCTACATATTAAGACATGGCTATGGAGAGGAAATGATAGAATAGCATGAAAATATGGAATGACAAACTCAACAATATTTAGAGCTTCTAAGCAATAGAGACAGAAGCTCAAGTTTCATAAAAGGACTTTAAGGGTAGTATAAGTAAGACATAGAGAAAATCTAGAAATAAGAAATTAAATCATGTAATGAAGGATCATGAAGCTGCTTTCACTTTTTTTTCATTTAGAAGCTTACTTACAAGTTAAAAGATATTCTATTTGCTGCCACTTTGTTCAGTTTGTTTATCCTCTCACTAAAATTATATAATTTCCTATACCACTCTTATTGATTCACTATATCAAATCCAAGCTTGTAATTATTTAGCCAAATATCTCCTGATCCAATTAAAAAATTTGCGTGGTTAAAAATTATTCTAGTTCTTCAATAAAAGACAGAAGCTTTTAGTTTTATTAAGTCAATCAAGTTGAGTTCCATCAAAAAATCCTGGTGTAACTAAGTTTGTGAGTTCCGATCATTTTATCATTCAAGTGGACATTTCAAATACCCTTGGCGTTCAATAAAAGTAGACAAATGTAGATGAATCATTTTAGACGATTAAGCTAGTATAACAAAATCCTAATATAACACTTTCAAGCCTCTCATGCTAAACGGCTAAACCTACAAAAATTCTATGCATACACAGATACATCAAAAAACCTGCAACTCGTTCAACCAAGTTTTTCCCAATCTATAACAAAATGATAGTATAAAAAATTCCCTGAAAAATCCAATTACTATGTATTTAGAAAAAAAAATCTAAATTCCAGAATTTTGTCAGTTAAATTCAAATACTGAATAAAAGTAAAGTATACATATATATGTAAAAATTGAGTACTAACTTGAAAAAACCCTATGTTGGTCTCAAAAGAAATTGATAAAGCCCGAATGCCAAATCTTTCTTGATGTTTGGAGAAATAGAGTGACATAACTCAAACCTTAGGAGAAATCAAGTGAAGCAAATCAGAGCTTCTGCTTCTGAAGAGCATCGCCGACTGGGTGCAATCTTTTTTCTTTTCCTTTTATTGATGAAGATTTGGTGCAATCGACTATCTGATTTTGGAAAAATCAAGCGAAGAAGTTTTATGGGTTTCAAACCCTAGAGAAGGAGTAAAAGTTCAGACTTTAGTGGAAACTTTTAGAGGGAATAGTTTAAGTTTTTAGAGGGAATAATTTAAATGAAAAAAATTTTGTGCGAAATATTTTTTTACTTTAGACCACGTTTGTACCGGGTTGCTTTTAAAGTACCAAAAATAGCGCTCGTAAACCGTTGCGTAATATCTGAATAAGCGTTCTCAAATTTTTTAATTTTAGGCAACGCTTACACTGTGTAGTCGTTCTACACAAGGAGCACACTTTATGAGTGCCGCCTAATCTCTGTTGCCAAAAGCTCTTATAAAAGGTCACCCATACATAAGCGTTCCTTTTGTTATTTTTGGCAACACTTTTCAAGTGTTGTCTATAATAAGTGTTGCCTTAGGACAATTTTGTTGTAGTGTAAAAATCACCTGTTTACCGACATAAATTACCGACGGATGTCCGTTGGTAACAAGGCTTTACCGGCGGAAGTCGGTCGGTAAGTGATTGGTAGGTAAATCCTTCCTCGGTAAAATATACCGAAAGAATCCGCCGGTAATTTACCGACGGACTCCATCGGAAAGCCATCCGTACATTTCTGACAGTGGTTGGTCAAATAATTTTACTTACCGACGGATATTCGTCGGTATATTATAAAATAATATAATATTAATAATATCAATACCAACGGATATCCGCCGGTAAATTAAAAATAATAATTTAATAATACCGACGGACACCATCGGTAAGTTTAGAATTTTAATTTAGTAATATAAAAATTAAAAATCTGAATAAATTCATATTCAGATGGCTATCCGTCGGTATTTTCAACAAAATATGAAAATTTGGTTCAAGTCTACTGTCACGACCCAAAACCAACCCGGTCGTGATGGCGCCTATCATGGAACTAGGCTAGCCGACACATTCCCAAAATGATTTGATATTTCATTAAAAATTAGATAATAACCTTTTTCATACTGGAATTCCGTAAAAGAGATAAATTCAAAAACCAAAATGCGGAAATAAAAGCCAGACCTCGGGTGTCACTAAGTCATGAGCAAATAGTACAACTGTTCTGAAATATAACAAGACTAAAATAGTCTGAAAATAGCCCGAGTATGCTAAAAGGAACATAAAGAAGGAGAAAGGTGGGACTGCGATCGCCAGACAGCTACCTCGCTATCTTCGGTGAAAGTCCGCGACTGGAAAAGTCAACAGCCACTGTCGTGTCCTGAAATACCTGGATCTGCACACAAGGTGCAGGGGGTAACGTGAGTACACCAACTCAGTAAGTAACAAGTCCAAACTATGGACTAATAGGTAGTGAGGAACGTAACCTCAACAGGAAATAGAAATAAACTGTGCAGAAAGAGTAGGCATGCTAACAGTTCAGGAACACAGCTCAAGCAGTAAAATAACTACAGTTCTGAACAATGTGATATAAAGCTCAGCTAACTCTACATGCCCATGCACAGAAGGTATGAAATGCACCATGTGCTCCCACTCTCAAGTGCTCAACCACTCAGCACTGCATATGGCCATCCGACCCAGAGAAATCCATCCCGGAACATATACAACACTGACTGCAAGTCAACCAGTGCCGAGGAAGAAGGGTAATCCAACCCTGAGGAGAAATCCGCATATGGACATCCGGCCCAGGGAAACCCATCCTAGAACATACTCATCGCTGACTATAAGTCACTCGGTACCGAGGAAAAGGGTAATCCAGTCCTGCGGAGAAATCCATCTCTAGATATCAATACTTCAGACAAATCCATGTCCCAGAGAAATCCATCCCTCAAATATCATCCGCGCTCACTGGGGGTGTGTTACAGACTCCGGAGGGACTCCTACAACCCTAGCGCTAAAATAATCATCAACATAACCGTTGCGGCATGCAGCCCGATCCCATAACTATCACTTATAATCAGGCTCTCGGCCTCACTCGGTCATCACTCTCCAGTCTCACACACGGGCTCATAATGCCATGAAACTAGCCCGAAACAATGCTATGATGTGCCAAATAATAACCACTGAGACATGATATGATATGCATGAATAAGACTGAGTACAGAATGTCAATGAATCAAATAAAATGACAGCAAGAAACGACCACTCGGGTCTCAACAGTATCGCCGTGAAAACCCTAACATGAAATCTAGCATGTTTTACAACACATTTACTTAATCACATGATAGAAACACGAATATCAACAAGAAAGAGTCATTAAGCGGTGCCATGGAATAAACTAGGCCACAATTCTCACGGTGCACGCCCGTACGCCCGTCACATGGCATTTGTGTCACCACAGTACAAATCACATAACATATAGTTCGGGGTTTCGAACCCTCAGAACCAAGTTTGGAAGCGTTACTTACCTCAAACCAAGCAAAATCCTACTCCCTATGCCCTTGCCTCTAGAATCGGCCTCCAAACGTCCCGAATCTAACCAAAAGCAATACAATACAATCAATATAGGCCAAGGAATCAATCCCATATGAAAAACTATCAATTAAGACCAAAATCCCAAAATTCACCCAAATCCGACCCCGGGGGCCCACGTCTCGAAATCCGACAAAAACCACAAAAGTAGAAACTCTTTTATCTCACGAGTCTATACATACCAAAATACGACATCAAATGGTCCCTCAAATCCTCAAATTAAACTCTCTCCAATATCCCAAGCCCTAACCCCTCATTTTCACCCTAATCACCACTAATTACATGATAAAACCACGGAAAATTACCATAAATACGAGTATTAGGGCTCAAATTACTCACCTTAATGAAAATCCCCTAGAATCCCTCTACAAATTGCTCCCAAAATCTCCAAATCCGGATAAAAATGGTGGAAGATAACCCAAAATTCGCGAAGCCTCCCTTTTATACATTCTGCCTAGCACTTCCGCACCTGCGGTCCCCTTTCCGTATCTGCGCAAACTTGTCCGCTTCTGCGAAAATTCATTCAAAGGCCATTTCCTCTTCTGCGGTTGCCTGACCGCATTGCGGTTATCGCAGATGCGGGGACCAAGCCGCACCTGCGACTCCAGTTGCGCACCTGCGCCTCATAACCGCTTCTGCGGACCTCGCACCTGCGGTTCCCACACTACAGGTGCGGTTAAGACAGAATCAGCAGCTTGAGCTGCATAACCAAATTTCCAAACTCTCCGATAACCATCCAAAATCATCCCGAGACCCTTGGGACCCCAACCAAAAATACCAATAAGTCACATATCAATATACAAACTTAGTCGAACCTTCAGAACACTCAAAACAATATCAAAACACCAAATCACTCTCGGATTCAAGCCTAAGAACTTCTAAACTTCCAAATTCCGCAAACGATGTCGAAACATGCCAAACCTCGTCCGAATGACCTGAAATTTTCACACACGTCACAAATGACACTACGGACCTACTCCGATTTTCGTACACACGCCACAAATGACACTACGGACCTACTCCGATTTCCGGAATTCCATTCCGACCCGATATCAAAATTGTTACTGCCGACCGAGAATCGCCAAATTTCTAATTTCGCCAATTCAAGCCTAATTCTACAACGGACCTCCAAATCACATTTCGGACGCGCTCCCAAGTCCAAAATCACCTAACGGAGCTAATCGAACCATCAAAATTCACATCCGAGATCATTTACACATAAGTCAACATCCGGTTGAATTTTCCAACTTAAACTTCTAAATAGGAGACTAATTGTCTCATTCCACACCGAAACTACTCCGGACTCGAACCATCCAACACGATACGATGAAATACAGCTGAAGAATACATAAAGAAGCAGAAATGGGGGAAACAGGGCTATAACTCATGGAACGACCGGCCGGGTCGTTACGTCTAGCGACGGACTCCCTCGCCAATTAAGAATTCTGGGTTGAAAATGAATAATTGTTCCGACGGACTCTGTCGATAAGTCCCTCGGTAAATCTGGTACATTTTTGGCAGAGTGCCTATTGTTTGTTGCACCACCTGCCAGCCAGAATATTACAATAGACCTGCCAGCTAGAACATTACAATAGAAACAAAAATGCAACCATAATAAAACACAACTTAACAACAACAAAACTTTATAAACTATCCAAACATCCAAATTATCCCATCAAATATCAAAACTATCCAACCAAACTTCAAAATGTAACATTTAAAGTTAACATCCAACTAAACAACAATCCAACCAAACATAAAATCACTCCTCGCCTTCGGATTCCCTCTCATCTTCTTCATCATTTGTATTATTTTCATCACTTTCATCCTCTTCATAAATGTGACTTTTTGGCGGAGAGCGGGGCAGGCCGATTAAGTGGTTCACTTGAGCCTTGAGGGAGTCGATGTCATTCCTAAGTGCGTCTCTAATCTTCTCTTCATGCTTTCTTTTTTTTTCGTTCATCCGTACAATTCCTAGAAAGTTCTTGAATCATTCGCCGCATCTCCTCAAGGTCCTCATTTTGCACGGTGAAAGATCAATTAGTAATAGTTCTTAAGACTACTACTGATAAACTTTTAGTTAATCAGTGTAATTACTAATAGAAAGGCTAATCAATCATTAATATTACTTAAGCATACCGCTAATATGCATCTGCTTTATGTAATTATCAATTTATAGGCTAATCAATCGCTAACATTTCTTACTGATATTACTAATACACTCCTACTTAGTGTAATTCTTAATGCATAAGCTAATGAATCAGTAATAGTTTTTAAGACTATACTAATACATACTTAATTAGTATAATTATCAATGTACAGGCTAGTGAATCACTAGCGTTACTTCAGGATACTACTAATATTACTTAACGATACCACTAATAAACCTCCAGTTACTTTAATTATCAAACTAAAGATAAACAATCACAAATTTCTCACAAATATAATTAATACACCTCCATTTAGTGTATAATTATCAATGTATCGGCTAATCAATCACTAACGTTACTTATATAAGGATACCACTAGTTCACTAATTGTTAACGTTACTTAAGGATACCATTAATACACTTCTACTTACAGTAATTATTAATTTATAAGATAAACCATCACTATATTTCTTACGGAAACGACTAATACACTTCTTCTTAGTGTGTAATTATTAATGTATAGGTTAATCTATGTGTTAAGGATACTACAAATTCACTTTTACTTTGTGTAATTATAAATTACTAAGCTAATTACCACTAATATATTTTTAAGTAGTGTATTACCTCCACTTAGAGTAAATTTTAATAAATAGGCTAATCAACCACTAAGATAATTAAGTAAATACT